CCAAATGTCAAAATGGAAAGTTCTGGGCTTCCCTGGTGGCGCAGTGGTTGGGGGTCCGCTTGCCGATGCAGGGGACGCGGGTTCGTGCCCCGGTCCGGGAAGATCCCACATGCCGCGGAGCGGCTGGGCCCGTGAGCCGTGGCTGCTGAGCCTGCGCGTCCGGAGCCTGTGCTCCGCAGCGGGAGAGGCCGCAGCGGTGAGAGGCCCGCGTACCGCAAAAGAACAAAAATCAAAACAAGATGGAAAGTTCTGTCAGAATTTTGAGACTAACCTGCATTGATCACTCATGGCTGGCTTCCTTCCTTTTCCCTAAATCTTCCCCACCAGCTTTCTTTTCACGCTCCAATCTAAAGTAAGCACAGGTATGGTACCCATGGGGCTTAACAACTGTAAATGTCAAACAGTGATTCTGTAAACAGGGACAGATTAACACCATCTGATGGACCAGGTTTTGAAACAGAGTTGACCAGTGGAAGACACTCTGCTTTGGTCCCAAGGAGATAAATCTGGGAAACACCCTAAAAAGGCATTCAGCTAAGAGCTAAGTTCCTACTAAAAAGTCAATCTCTGGCTAAAACTGTCAGAACATTCTGGCCTTCATTTGGTGAGGAATTCAAGTCACAGTAGGAGGGGTTCCACTTTACACGTATTCATACGAGCACACACAGGTCCACACATCAGGATGCAAAGGGGGCCAGGCCAGGGTCCTGGCCACCTGCCCCCGGCCCCGCCCAGGCTGAGGGGACTGAGAGTCAAGCAAGACAAACACTCCGACTGGCATCCTATCAAATTCGGGGTTTACTAACAACTTCCCCTTTAAAGTTCATTTTTTGGGGGTTTCAAAAAGCATATGGAAATGCAACTACTCAACTAGAAAATGTGATTGACACAGTGTTTTATAGGAAAAATGTTTTGTATGGGGGACTGACTGCACTGTGAACACAGTTAAAAAGGACAAGGAGGGGCTTCCCTGGTGGCGCAGTGGTTGAGAGTCCGCCTGCCGATGCAGGGGACACGGGTTCGTGCCCCGGTCCGGGAAGATCCCACATGCCGCGGAGCGGCTGGGTCCGTGGGCCCTGGCCGCTGAGCCTGCGTGTCCGGAGCCTGTGCTCCGCGACGGGAGAGGCCACAGCAGTGAGAGGCCCGCGTACCGCCAAAAATAAATAAATAAATAAATAAAATAAAAAGGACAAGGACTGAAGTCTCAAAAATATATACAATATATCAATGGGGATAATGTTACAACAAACAACTGAAGGTCGTGAAGGTCGCGGCCCAGAACGTGATGAACCTGAGGGAACGGATCTGGAAACTGGGACTATCGGTGGTAGCATTTCTACTGAAAGGTATTACTTGTAGGGATAAAACAGGCCAGGAATTTTTGTGACCTAAGCCTCCAGCTGGCTGATGACAGCGGCTCCTCTTCATCTCTCCTCCCCCTCCCCCAACAACAAACACCCCCCCAGGAACTGGGAGGCACAACTAACTCGGGAGGGAGGAGGGCACCGCCTAGCCTCCAGGCCCCCAGCCCGCGGGGGGG